GGGGTTTGCCCTTTCCTTTTGAAGCGGGGAGGAGCGATGGGGTGTGCGGCGTGACCCGCCGGCGGGGAGGGGGAAGCTGCAGGGCCTCCCAGATGTGACTCAGCACGGGTCTATCTGGACGTGTTCATGGGTCCCCTTCCAGTCTATCGCACCCGCCCAGGCGCTGCTCCAGTGCCTCCGAGCAGCGGTCTGGTGGCCCGGGCAGCCCCGGCACCGCTGCTGTCCCCTCCCAGCTGGGAGCGGGGGGTTTGCAGAGGACGCATCTCGCCTGCCGCTCCTTGTGCTGCTGCCGTCTGTTCTTGCCCCTTCGCCATCCTCCCACCCTCGGGCCCGGACACCAGTGCCACAGGGCTTGCCACTTCTTTATCCCTTTGGGGTAAACCGAGATGGTCTTCCCACTGCCTTCCCCTCTCCTGCTGCTTCATCTCAATGGGCAGCTGCCAGCAGGGAGGGCACAGCTCCTCTCCCTGCCCACCGCTCCCGGAGGTCGCCCCGGGATGGCTCCTCTGAGCACCCCTCGCTGAGCAGGGCAAAGGTTCAGGGAAGCGGAGTGGGGCAGCCTGGCCGCCTGCCACGGGCTCTTTGCAGCTGGCTGAGCACCGCCAGAGCGCAGACCTTGGGCAGGAAGGATTGCCAAACAGCCAGGGAGGGAAAGCAAAGAGGCTGGAGCGTGCCGGGGTGCAGCGGGGAACCCCAGAGCGCTGCTGGCAGCAGCCCAGCCAGGGCGGTGCGTGGCGGATTGGTGGGAAGGGACGTCTCTAGGGCTGACCCCCGGCAGGGCCCCGTTCCTGGAATCTGGGCTGTTTCACAGGAAGGATGACCGGCTTGCTTTCCTCCCCAGGATGGGAGGGAAACGTTTGCTCAGCTCATCCTGGCTGCCATCCCAACGGAGATGGCTTCCCAGCACCCATGGGCTTAACTCCTTTCTTGCGCAAGTCCCGTCTCGCATTTTGGGACCCCGTAGCTGGTACCGAGCTTTGCACAAAATGGGGATCCTGATTGCTTGACCCAGCACCACCCCTCAGCTCGGGTAAGCTCAGACCTTCCTAAAAATAATCAAACCCTGATAAGAAGGCATCCACCCCGAGGCAATTAGGCTGCAAAATGATTTTGCAGGCCCCAGAGGAGTCTCCCCAAGGGAGACGTTTCTCCTGGGTCCCGCTGCGCAGCCCAGAGTGGTGCTTACACTGGTGGCTGCACGGGAGGGGCCGGGGGGCATTTTTCTTTCTGCCCCATCGAAGCTTTTGGAGAACTTGAAGCTCCACCCGATGAGACAGGAAACTCTGACTGATGATCTCATAAGCGAGAGGGATGAATTAATGGGTTGTGGTGCCAAGTGGGGCCACGGCAGCACCCTTGGCATGAGCTCAGTGCCCATCTCGCTCCCCCCCGCCCCAGCTCCTGCTGCAGACCCCCGGGTGCTGTGTGCTGGTCCCTGATGGTGCCCCGGCCCCCCCCTTGCCGCCCCTGC